TTAGGCACGTTCAAATCAATACTGAAAGCTCATCAGTTTAGCTGTGCCTTTACTGAATGAGCACTCATTCGTCTGAAAGATCACACTATTACGTCTTTCTTTTCTTTTTCGCTCCTTTAAAACCAGTTTAACACATTTTATTCTGTTTTTAATATTTTTTTCTTTGTTGTTTTTATTTTCTTGTTTCTTTTATTCCTGTTTATGTAAAGCGCTTTGAATTACCGTAGTGTATGAAATGTGATATATAAATAAACTTGCCTTTCATGCCAAGTTTAAATAATATTATTTAAATGGATACTTTTTTTACCTCCTCAAGCTTAATAATATAAGCTATAAAAGCCTTATGCTTTTTCTGAAGGTTCAATAAACTACACACATACACACACACACACACACACACACACACTTTTGTTTTTGTGAAAAGTGGGGACAATACATAGGTTTCCATTCATTTTATACTGTTCAAAACGTATATTATATTGCCCTCACCCCACCCCACCCCTAAACCCAACTATCACAGGAGACTGTGTGCAGCTTTACTCTCTGATTAAACTCATTCTGTAGGATTTACAAGCATTTTGAGAAATGAGGAGGTCACCAATGTCTACCCATGTCATTATACAGATTTGTGTCCTGATATGTCACAAAAACATATACAAATGTACACACACACACACACACTAAACTAAAACTAAACACCCCCCCCCCCCCCCCCCCCCACACACACACACACACACACACTAAACTAAAACTAAACACCCACACACACAAAGTTTCGGTGTGCCTGACTTGAGTGTTAATCTATTTTACCTTTAGGTAGTTTAATAATATTTGCTCGGCATCTAATTTTATATCTGGTTGTCAGTTGATGTCTGGTGTAAAATCTGGCTCCCAAAGCAATACACGTCAAGAAACACAGATCTAAAGTGCCAACATGCTGGCTGTGAAAAAATACACACCGCTTTTGTGTGCAGCGTGAAACAGTCATGAGAACAAACACGGCCTGGGTGACAGTTCTGTAGCTGTGCCACAAGAAATGATCAATACAACGAAGAAAAGTGGGAAAAAAGTAATGATATGAAAGAGCTACACAAGCTGCTGCAAAGCCAAAGCTCACACTTGGAAGAGCTCATTCTTCTAACTGATTGCATTCTGAAAGGATCATTTCCATCTGCTCTGATATTATGTATGAAAATGTATGTTTGAAATTAGAAACTATAGTTAAAGTCAAAATTATTCGCCCTCCTGGGAATTTTATTTGTATTTATTAAAAACATTTTCCAAATAACAGAGCAAGGATTTTTTCACAGTATTTCCTTTAGAATATTTTTTTATTTGTCTTATTTGTTTTTTTTTTTTTAGCTAGAATAAAAGCAGTTAAAAACTTAAGGTCAATATTATTAGCCCCCTCTATGAGAAAAATAAAATGATAATGTTTTAATATATATATATATATATATATATATATATATATATATATATATATGTTTATTTTTTTAAGGGTTGTATGCTATATACTGTAAACTAGCATTATTCCACTGTTTTGTATGGACGTGCATAATCATTTAAGAGTTCTGAATGAGCCAAATAGGCTTAACACACCTGTTTACTGTAGTAAAAGCCGCTATATTTGTTGAAGTACAGTTTTTGTTTCCATGTATTTAATAAATAAAACTGCCACTTTTCTATTTAAATGGCATACACATAAAATATATAAATGTAACTAATTCACATATTTTATGAACTGAATCATAATATTGAAATAGGAAATATTTTTAATACAAGACAACACATGATGTTTCTATCTCTGTCAGTGACTTTGACAGTTAAAATGAGTACATGGTTCTGTCACTGTGTTTCATCCTTTCTGTGCATGACTGCAGTATAGATAATGCCACATGCACTGTAATGTGTTTTATAATGGTAGTTTATTTTAAAATAAAAATAGTAAAATGTTCGTTAAGAGTTATATTTACACTGGAGGAAACAGCTGTGATTATGAGGTAAGCAATGAGGATTAAGACAGATAAAAGAAATCAATTATAAGAATAAAAACTATTATGTATAGAAATTTGTTGAAAAAATCTTCTTTTTATTAAACAGTAATTGCGGGAAAATATACAGGGAGCTAATAATTCAGGAGGGCGAATAATTCTGACTTCAAATTTACGTTTGCTGCTTTAAAAAAAAGGGACCATTTGTCTTTTGCAGCCTGTTAAACGTTTGTGTCTTATTGCAGAAGTTAGTGTGAGTTAAGATGACACATTTAATGAGTCAGTGAATCACACAAGCAGCCATTGTGAACACCAGCTGCAATCATGCTAATCATTGCAATTTAGAGTACTGAAAAAACTCCCAAGCTTCTGCCAAAAAGAGACAATTGATAAAAAAAACATTTCATTTAAATCTATTGACAGCTGCTAAGAATTCAAAGCTGCAGCACTGTAACACTTCTATTGGAACAATAAAATCTGCACAAAGGTTACTGACGGGGGTCTCAGCAATTAGATCTGCAGACATTTGTACATTCATCCTCCCTTTTTTGGAAAATAGTCAATATGCCATACCAGATTATGCACGTTTATTTTTTCCATGACATTTAATTTATAGCGGAACTACCTGTTTTGTTGTTGTTTGTCTTCTTGCTTCTTGATTTACTGTTGATCTTCTGGCACACTGTGGGGCTTTTCACATCAATCTCTTGATATGATTTTTGGCACTGTGTTAGCCACCGAGTTGCTGTTCATTTTTAGAAAAGACTACATATCAGAAGGTAAATCCTTCAACAGTCTTGCCTCTCTTTCATTTGATAGTATTTTCTTAGGAGAAGAAAAATATAAATTCAGCAACACATTTAGAGGTTTAAGAACTGACCCAGACCGTTCATGTCTGTGTGATCTGTCCTCTAGTGGCTGTGATGTGTAAGTGAAAGGTTTCTCAAAATTATAATTGTATTGCTTTATGCACTGTTCAGTTACAAATCACAGGTTTTTTCTGTTTATTTAAGGTTGTGAATTGCTTTATGGACCTTTATCTCTGCTCTGTTGACTTTTGATGTTGAAAAATCAACTTTGCAGTTTAACAGAGCGACTCTTATTGACATTTTAGTCATTTAAAACAATAAATAATATACACCTATGTGGCATGACATTAATAATTTCTCCTGATTTTCTATTCCAAAGTGCATATAGCTCCTAGCCAGACTGTATGAGCCTGTTTACTTGTTTGTATATTTCCCTTTTTTTTTCCTACTGTTTAGCTGAAACTTTATTTGTTTGTGCTGATGTATTAAAACAACAATGTCTTAAAATAATTATATATAAAATTATATATATATATATATATATATATATATATATATATATATATATATATATATATATATATATATATATATATATATATATATAGTCCTTAAAAAATATTAGCAGTTTATTACTAGGTTTTTGTAGCATATTTTACAACATCAATACAGATAATATATCACTACAAAATATTAAAAACATCCAAAAAAGTCACTTTCTCATTTTTTTTAAATACCACAGTTGTTGATGCATTTCAAAAGCATAAACAAGTGAAGTTTATTCATAAACTAATTTCGAAAGGATCACAGGCTTATGGTTGATCACAGCTGGTCCCGCATCAGCTTACACTTGATTCACCAATCAGATGATTCCTAACTCACTATAAATAACCAGAGTTCTCTTATCTCAGTGTCTTCGTCTTGAAGAATCCCCCCTGATTCCCAAACCTACTCCCCCTCCATTCCAGATGGCCGACATGGAGGCCCAGTAATAAGTACTGTTGCCTCACAGCAAGATTGTCTCTGGTTAAAGTCCCCATTAAACCAGTTGACATTTCTGTGCAGAGTTTGCTCGTTCTCCTCGTGCTCGGATGGGTTTTCCCTTTTAAATAGGCTAAATTCATTTATTTTCTTTTTGGCCTAGTCCCTTTATTAATCTGAGGTCGCCACATCGGGTGCTCCGGTTTCCCCCACAATCTAAAGACATGCGCCATAGATGAATTGAATAAGCTAAATTGGCCGTCGTGTTTGAATGAGGATGAGTGTTTCCCAGTACTCGGTTGCAGCTGGAAGGTTATCCGCTGTGTTAAACATATGCTGGATCAGTTGGTGGTTCATTCCACTGTGGCGACCCCTGATAATAAGGGATTAAGCAAAGGAAAATTAATGAATATTAAACTCCAATGTTGTGCTTAACATTAGTTAATGCACTGAGTTAACGTATAGGTGACTCTTCAGTGGCATCTTCTGGATCCTTTATTTTTAAGAATGTACTGAGCAATGCAAATGGATGTCAAATAAAGACTGTTTGATGCTCTTTTTTATAGGCTATGTTAATAATAAAACATAAATAAACGATACATCCGTTTGAAGGTTTTGAAAAAATTAAAGATAAAATAAAAGTTTTCTGGTTAAAAGCTACAACTAAGTGTTAACCATAAGAAATAATGCATGATAAGTGTTTCCTGTAATATTATGAGTCATTGCCGTTACGGGATGTGTTGCGGTCTGTGACTGTCCCACAAAAGGGTAGCGGTGCGATGAGCCAACCAGAGGGAGGCCCACATCACCCATTTCTTCATTGAGCTCCATTTAAATATCATTTAGTGTTTAAAACGCCAAACAAATAATTAATTAAATCCAATAAGTTTAAAAGACTGTAATTTAACACGAAAATGAACACCCGTCCAACAAATCACTAATAAAGTATATCAAACGCACTTTATTGAGTAATCAGAAGTGAACGTGATTGGTCCATCGCGTTCAGCGCTGAGAAAGGTATTACTAGCCGCGTGACATACTTTCTCTGGAATATTTTTTTATTACGTAATGGATAATGATTTATATCTTTAGAATGTCTGTGAGTAACCGTGCTTTAACTTGGAGGTATTATGAAACAGTAACAATTGTCAAATTTTGAGTATTATTATTTCGCTTCTACATGACGCAAATAAGCCCCGCCCCTTAATTCACTTCAGTCTCACGCTGAAAGCCGTTCTTCGTATATTTTCAGTTTTCTGGGTTTGTCCTGATAAAGTGAAATGCAGCCCACTTGGGCGGAACTCAAGTTTATCTTTTGGCATGTCGTTCGCCAGACATGTAACCATAACGCAGAGTAATCATGCCGTGTCCTGCCTTCACAGCTCATATACTTTGCTGGCTTTGTCTTTGTGGTATGTACATGATATTCTTTTAATTATTTTAGTAATATGTTTTACTTTTTAATGCTTGATATATTATGAATAACACCCTGAAAATTTAACCTGTAGCTTCTGTCCGCTTTTATTTAGATAGTCTTTTAATGGTAGCCTATTGACTAGATAGCCTACGTCAGGCTGATTTTAAAGAAAATGTAAAACATCAACAACAAAAACACAACTATTACTCTTAAATTTCAATTCCTTAACTGTATGAAATGTACTAATGTTAAATATGCCAAAATGTGTCTAGACTTGGCCCCAAAAATAAAATTGTTTAAAAGAAAATCCAGGGATGTCACTTGCACTATTTTAAAAGAAAAAATTGGCAACAGTTTAATTTATTTATTTATTTTGAACGGCAGACATGTTAATCTAAGGTATATTTTACAACACGATCTGTCTGAGCTTAGCTTTATTGTTAAATAAAATAATATTGTTAAATACTGTCTCCCAGTACTGGGTTGTGGCTGGAAGGTCGTCTGCTGCCTAAAACAAATGCCAGAGTAGTTGGTGGTTCACTCTGCTGTGGTGACCCCTGATGAATAAAGGGACTAAGCTGAAGGAAAACGAACAAAAAATGCTGAATAATATTTTCCAGTACTGGGTTGTGGCTGGAAGGGCATATGCTGCGTAAAACATATGCCAGAACAGTTGGTGGTTCACATCGCTGTGGTGACCCCTGATGAATAAAAGGACTAAGCTGAAGGAAAATGAGTGAAAATGTTAAATAATATATCCCAGAACTGGGTTGTGGCATCCGATGCATAAAACATATGCTGGATTAGTTGGTGGTTTATTCCTCTGTGTCGACCTCTTTTAAATCAGAGACCAAGCCGAATGAAAATTAATCAATGAATGTATATAAAGTGAAATATTATGATTACGACTTTTTTTTTCTATCAGTTATTAATTTATTTTTGGAAAACATGTATTAACCTACCCTAAACTCGAATTTATATCAAATAGTTGTCTTTTTATTATATCATGTATTTTTGTAGGTGGTAATAATTGTTAATTTAAGTAATTTTGAGATGTTTTTGTATTCATCATCAGGATGTGTGGCAGAAAGTATCCGTACATTACCTCATGTTGAGCGTTTTGATGTGGTGAGACCTAAAAGACTGAACCTCAGTAAGGTACATCTACTTAGTGTTAAAGCAGCAGTTAATTTTTATTCTTTTAGTTTTACCATGCTTTTTTTTTTTTTTAAAGAAACAATGCCACTCTGCTGTCTACATCTGGATTAACTTGTATAACTCCTACATAGGTACAGTCTGATAAAAATCCACCAAGCCATGAGAAGTATCCTGACAGACTCGCATATAAATTATTCTTTGAAGGAGAAAATCATGTGATTCACTTGGAAAAGAACAAGTGAGTTTGGGTTTACTGAACCTTTTTCTATGTTTAAGAATATCACACACACATATTGACTCTCTAGGCCTATATACAGATGAAGTCAGAATTATTCGCCCCCCTGTTTAATTTTTTCTTCAATTTCTGTTTAACCGAGATAAGTTTTTTTTTTCAACACATTTCTAAACATAATAGTTTTAATAACAAATTTTTTATATCTGATTTATTTAATCTTTGCCATGATGACAGTAAATAATATTTTACTAGATATTTTTCAAGACACTTCTACACAGCTTAAAGTGACATTTAAAGGGTTATCTAGGTTAATTAGGTTATCTAGGCAGGTTAGGGTAATTGGGCAAGTTATTGTATAACGATGGTTTGTTCTGTAGACTATCGAGAAAAAATATATAGCTTAAAGGGGCTAATAATTTTGTCCTTAAAATGGTTTTTAAAAAATTAAAAACTGCTTTTATTCTTGCTGAAATAAAACAAATAAGACTTTCTCCAGAAGAAAAAATATTATCAGACATACTGTGAAAATTTCCGAGCTCTGTTAAACATCATTTAGGAAATATTTAAAAAGAAAATTCAGAGGGAGGCTAATAATTCTGACTTCAATTGTGGGTAAAAGTAATAACATTCCCCGTTGTTTAGGCAACTCGTTGGACATAATTACACTGAAATATACTATCAAGATGACGGATCAATTGTGAGCAGAAATCCAAGTTTTAAGGTAAGTTACTGTAATTCACATCTGTCTTTAGAACAGCATACTAGCGAATTGTGCATACTACTTCTTCAGTATTCATTTTCTTTTAATTCAATTAAAATTTACTTGTCTAGCACTTTTCACAATAAATATCCTTTAAAGCACCTTTACAAATAATATAATATAATATAATATAATATAATATAATATAATATAATATAATATAATATAATATAATATAATATAATATAATAATCTTTTTCTAAAATGTAAAAATATTAGTGGAGTCCGAATAATAAATTGAATTAAAAGAGAAAACAAAACAATTTTAACCCTAAATCCATTTAATCTTGACTTAAGATTTTATTTCTAAAACCATTTTGTCTCTCCAGTAAATGTTTTTTAAATAATTAACAATAAAATAAATGTATACACTACAGAAAAAAATTTTGAGCTCGATTTCTTTTTAGCAGTACATTACATTATTTAAATGTATTTAATTTTGTATAATTTAATTAGATGCATTTTGTATTAATTTCAACTTTATTGTGCACAATAAAAATAGACAGTGCAGCCAGCTGATCTGAACTGATTTTCCATCACAAATTCTCCACTTTTTAGAACTTTATTTACTTAAAGTTTTTTTTTTTTAATACTTGAAGTTTCTTTAAAGGATAAAGTAGAACACACAAGTCATCTTTACACAGCTGATTGAAAAATGGATCTGTATCTGCTTAGAATACAGTGTAAAGACACGATGCTGCATTAAATGTTTTATATAAATACACATTCTTGAACATTTATACTGCTTCAGGTTTGGTTTCTGTGCTGTCTTTGCTTTGTAAACATGTTTATAGACAGATAGAATACCTTATGCAGTTAGAAACCTGTTTGTGTGTTTTTAGGACAATTGCTACTACCATGGGCACATTCAAGATATGGAATATTCCTCAGTCAGCGTGGGAATCTGTTCTGGGATCAGGTAATAAACAATATTATGTTGCCAGTGCACTCTACACAGTCAAAAAATTTTTGTTCAAACTACTTACTTAACTACTTGAAACAAAACAATTCTTGGGATTTCATTGGGACGACTTAACTTTTTTGTGTTTAATCCACATAAATTTGTTAAAAAGTGTTAACTTAATCGATTTATGTTGTGACAACAAAAATTAATTGTGTGGAATTCTGCATTTTTTACAGTGCACTGCATGTGGTAATTTACAGTAATTATTTAAAAAAGCTGTTTCTACTCAAATTAATCGATAAAAAAAGTGTTGCTTATAAAAAAAAAATAGTGCCAAATATATTTCATAACACTTTACAATAAAGGTGTATTAGTTAATGTAAGTTTTAATACATTAGTAACATGCATTATCAGTGAAAAACACATTTGTTAAGCATTCTTAATTTTAGTATGGCTTAATATAGAGTTGAAGTCAGATAATTATAAGCCCTATTATTATTATTATTATTATTAGTAGTAGTAGTAGTAGTAGTAGTAGTAGTATAAGTATTAGCCCAGAGAAAAATTTAGCCCTATATACATTTCTGAAGATCGCGAATTATGTAGCCAGAACTCCTAGGTCCCGTTCTCTTAGTGGTTTCAAGGAATCATAAACTGAGGAATCAGAGTAAACTAATAAGGCATAGAATTTAGAAATAAGCCCTTTAAAATAACTTACTGACAGCATGGTGTCCTCTAGTTCCGATAATTTAAAACGAAATTGGTTTTGCTTTAGTAAGGACTTTATAAAATGTCGAATTTGAAGATATTTAAAGAAGTCTTCGGAGGGAATATTAAACTCTGTTCCAATTTGTTCAAATGATTTCACACCTGTCATTTTAAATTATGGGTGCAACAATAGCTGCTCACAGTTTGGATTTCGGTTTAAATGTCACGGTTTTGATTCGGTATAAAAAAACAAGAGGCTGTCAAATAAAAATATAGAAAAAGTCTACAAGCAAAAGCACAAATTAATACAATATAGCAGAGATACTACTTAAATAAACAGCACTTCTCAGTTTTTTCAGGTGTCTAATTGTAGTTTTCAAGTAAATAAAACACTGCATGCTGTATATAATCTTCACTGTATATCTTAAATAAAGGTTAATCATTGAGCTATAGATATTCAGAACAGAGCAGCTTTTTGTTATCTTTTGTTTTTTTGATTAATATTAAAAACACAGACACCAGGAATAAGTTGTTTTCACTTTCAGGCAATCTACTGATGCGTCACACTGAGACAATTACAGACAACCCAATTTCTCAAATGTTTACTTTCATTTTAACGTAAAAACGTCCCGAGCTTTAGAGCTCAATGATGCAATTTTATCAAAAAATTATTGCAAAACCGAAAAACACAATTTTTCTGACCATATTGAACCGTGGAGGTTGTACCGAACCGTACGTGTGTACCTGTGTTTTCCATCAGAGTAAACAAGCAAGAAAACGTGTCCTATTTCTTGAAGGAGAATGAATCTGCATTGAGAACGTGTTTGTATGCTTCTGCATCTTGTCTTCTACCCACAGAGGTTTTGTCAGAGTGAAACAACAAGTCTATCTGATTGAGCCCCTAGCTAACCACAGTGATGGAGATCATGCACTTTATAAACACCAGCATCTGAGGAGAAGGAGAAGCTCTGCTGGTGAACCGAAAACCATGTTTTATGACCACGAACCACAAGTGAGCGCTGCCTTAAAGTCGAGCAGATGGGTGAGAGCATTCACTATCTAATATTCTGCATATGGAAAAAAATGAGACTGGGAATGACCATTGACATGTCCTCCTAGAATATGAAGAGTTTTCAAACTCCAAGATTTGTGGAATTATTTCTGGTGGTCGATAACACTGAGGTAAGAATTCAGGCATTCTTTAAAATTTATTTATTGTAATTAACATTTTTTTAAAGACTAATGGTGGTGGTGGAGAATCTACACTGTAACTTAAAGTTTACTCAAACTGTTTAAGGAAACAGATTGCTGCAAATCATTTAAGTTTTGAAACCAAATGGTACTGTAAAATAATATATATTCAGTCATATACGCATGCATTCTTTGTGTTTACATTGTCTTTTAGAGTATTAGAGTATTAAGAAAACTAAAGTTAACTTATCAAATAGGTACAATTTTAGTTATTAGAGTGAATAAAATCCAAACAAATATATAGCTACTAAAATTTACTCAAGCTTTGGTAATGCTTCTAGTATTAGTATAAGCATTATTAATTAAAAACCGTATATATTCATTCATAATTCATTTGGTTTGAGTTCTGCTTAATACAATCAATTTATGAGTTACCATAACTCTTTTTCATAGTCAAAGTAACTTTAAAAGAAGTTAAACTTATTTTACTGAGTGATTTCCCCTGTTAGGACTTACAGTATAGACATTAAATATATTACTGAAAGACCATTCCACAATTAGTACCTGAGGTTTTAGAAATGCTGAAAATACTCTTAGAGTACCAGTGAAATCAAAATAAAGTTTTTTACTTTTTAGTATGAGCATGTCAGTTTTAAGCTAGTGTTCTCTAAAACAGTGACAAAATCCACAATCTAGAAGGTATAAACATCCAAAACTTGCAGTTTAACACGACCGCCTTAATGGATCAACATTTTTGATAGCCTCATACTTCAGTTTCCATCAAATCAAACCAATCAAATGCTCTAGGCTGTCTGACACCGGTCCCACCCCTTCAGGACACTATTTCTGTCTGTGCTCGAGCTCAACCACTCTCACTGGCAGAGCTGTGATAAAAACGAAAAGAGCTAATGGCTGTTTCTTTAAGGGGGAGGGGCTACTATATATATATATATATATATATATATATAGTTTAAATTACGTCACACATTTCACGGGACCTTTGAATCTTCTTTGTATAATTCTCTCTTAAATTTTTACCATATGCTAAAAACCACTGATATTAAGACTTTAACCCTTATGTGCTGTTGGGGATGATTTTCATCTGCTCTGGGGTGATTTTGAGTCTTAATTTGGCCATAACTTTTTCTGTGTTTCAGCTAGCAGAATGGTTTTGGTGACAAGTCTTATTTTGACACATATTTTGAGAAAATTTGTTGAACTGTAAAAATAAATAAATAAATCAACAATACACTCTGGGCAATTTAATTCCCTTTTGTTTTTCCACATTTTTTTGCATAAATTAATCTTAGTCCTGATCAAAACTACTAAATGTTTTAAAAAATTACAAGATTTTAACTCTTAAATTGTTTGATGCATTGTTTTTGTCATGGTGCAATGATGAGAGGAGGACAAAAGGTAGGATTCAAGTGCAGTTTTAATGATACAGTCTTTGTAAAGTCTTACAAAGTATCAAATAAACAAACAGAAAAAACAAACAAAACACAAACAAGACTCAGGCTCTAACAGAACATCCACATGACATACAAAGACTCCATAATGAACTCTGAATGAATACTTAAGATGTATTTATAGTCCAAACAATCCATGTTTTTGCCTCATTGACTTCCATTATAACCACATTTTTTTGATTGCAAAATCATGACACCATATAATTATGCATTTTTGTTATGTGGTTATAATAGAAGTGAATGGGGCAAAAACAGCTACCAACAGTAATTTAGGGAGAAAAAATGAAAATCTAACAATGTATCAAAGCCAGTGTTGTTACTAATCGTTCACGTGTCCAAGACTGTGATAAAAGATAAAAAAATCCAGTCTATTATTATTTTTTTGTATTGAAAATATGTCATTTTGTGTGTGCTTTTCACCAAATCAATGACATCATTTGTGAATTTGGCATTTAAAAAGTTAAAATCCTGTAATTAAAAAAATAAACATTTAGTAGTTTTGATCAGGACTGAGGTTGATTTATGCAACAAAAAAAAGGGAAAAATATGTGTGTGATGCATTTTTACTGCAATTTAATCCAGTGGACGTTTTCATTCCTAACATAACAAAAGGGTAGTCAATTTGAACAGTGCACAAGGGTTAAAGTTTGTTGGCCAATTGTATTAATTTCAAAACAGATATTGCCTGTTTGATTGACTTGGACAATATTTTATCTAATTGCTAATATTTCTACATTATAGATTGACCAAAAAAATATTGTAAATGTTAAGTTATGTTTTACTCTTATAGTACAGAAACTTTGGCTCTAGCATGGATTCTATCAGAGCCAGGATGCTGGAGGTGGTAAATCACGTTGACAAGGTATAAGTTCTTTTTTTTTTTTTTCAAATAGAGTCAATGCTAAATATGTTAAGTCATTAATAATTAATATAAATATTTAGATTTTTTGAAACACACTAAAAACATAAGTCTTTTCTCAGTTGTATCGATCTCTTAATATCCGAGTGATGTTGGTGGGTCTTGAGGTCTGGATGAAACAGGACCAGATTGTGGTCAGTGTGAGTTCTGATGACACTCTCAGTCGCTTTATAGAATGGAGGAAGAGCAATCTGCTTAAAAGGGTCAAACATGACAACGCTCAGTTTGTGACGTGAGTATGACCTAATTACCTATTTACTCGGCCGGATGACTGAGATCATTCGCTACACTATAGCAGAGCCTAATGTACTGCACTTTAATATAATGCCCACACTTTACACTAATGTTTTAATGGTTGTCACTTGTTAACTACTAACTAAACTTGCACTTATTTATCACATTAAAGCTATGGTCTCAAACTGAATTCCTGGAGGGCCGCAGCTCTGCATAGTTTAGCTCTAACCACCTCCAACTCACTCCTGCTTAATCGTCTTTAGTAGTCTTGAACAACTTGATTATTTGGATCAGCTGTGTTTCATTAGGGTTGGAGCAAATCTGTGCAGAGCTGCGGCCCTCCAGGAATTCAGTTTGAGACCTTTGTATTAAAGAAATAATTCATCCAGAAATAAAAATGTACAAACTATTTATTCACCCCACAGTGGTTTTAGACCTTTATGAGTTTATTCTGTTGAACACAAAAGAAAACTGAAAACTTGTAATCACTGATTTCAATTGTAGGAAAAACAAGTACTATGGAAGTCAAATCTTCAAAATACTTTCTGTGTTCAACAGAAGAAAGTCAAACAGTTTTTGAACAAGAAAAAGAAGAGTAAATGATTATTGAAGCTATCAAATTCAGCAATTACTAATTCATTTTTAATTCACATATGTACAGTATGCTGTTTATTTAAACAATGTAAACTAGAGTTGCACGATTCTGGCTAAAATGAGAATCGCAATTTTTTTGCTTAAAATAAAGATCACGATTCTCTCACGATTCTGTAGATATAGAATTATTATTTTTTCTCAAACATATGGTAAAACAACAATAATATTATGTGTAGGTCTACTAGCTTCTATAAATATTGCTATTCTACTTATAATAATTCTAATGTTTATTATGTTTGAGATACATGCTTGCAGTCTGTCGTTGACAACATAAGACCATTTTATTCACTGGTAAAATCATTTGTCATTATCAGATTATATTCAACAATATATAGGCTAGAGTAGTTATACTGACACTGTAAACATTTATTTTCATGCACAACTGTGGGTTCGCTATGAAAAAAAAAACATCAAATCTTGTCATAACCATAACTCTAAATTGCGGTATGATCATTTAAATGATGTGCACAATTTCGGTTTCATTTTGACTGCTAAGTGCTGTTCATACTTCACACGCGGCTTCCACACGATCACTCTGTGCCACAAGCTGATTATTATTTACAACTGTATTACCTGTTAGCCTGCGCAGGTTCTGTTCACTAAAGTAGACGCGTGCGTCTCTATCAAGTAGCGCGCACACTCGCCCTCTCGGTCAGCAGCTCACGTCACGCGTGATTTCCCGGCCGCGAATACATCATTATGTGAAGACAGAAATGACATTTTGGGGATGAATTATACCTTAGAAATACAGTATGTGACTCTTTCAACATCATTTGGAGGGATCCATGTCACTGAGCAACGTGTGTGAAGCAATGAAAAGACTCGTGCAGCCGCCTTTTCCTCTCTCCTGAACTTGAAAATATGATTGACAGAATCGTAGAAATGCTGGATTAAGATCGTCTAGGGGGTCGAATCGAGATCGCAATCTTTTTACGATTAATTGTGCAGCTCTACTGTAAACTAAGATAAACAATGATCATTTGTGGGGTTGTGTTATTAACTATGATTAATTATGATTAACTATTTTTTATTATTATTATGTTAACTAATGCATTTATTAATGATTATCGATTAATGCTTCGATATCGCAGTGTAATCATTCGCAATAGTCTCTGTGGCAAGGGGGCAGGGCCCAGAGCCGTGGGAACGTAATGAGACTGCTGTGTAAGTGGATTCACCTGTAGCGCGCACTGGTCTCGAATCCTAAGGAAGGAGCTCTGGACTTTAAGAGGAGGAACGATGGCAAAAGTAAAACAATCTGTTTGGGCCCGGTCCACTCTCGGGTTCCTCGGCCATCGTTCCTCATCTGGTGAAATTGTATTTAGATTGCAATATATATTGCAAAATAAAAAAAAATCTCAATATCGTGCAGCCCAACTATTAACAGTTTTTTTTTTTTTCCTCTAGTGGAATTGATTTTTTGGGTGACACAGTTGGGTTGGCAAACAAATTTGCAATGTGTGCCGAAAGCTCAGCAGGAGTCAATCAGGTATTCATTGCCTAAATTTGCGATGATTTCTGGTATCAAATTAAATCACGATTTGGAACAAAAGGATTGTTTTTTGTTTTTAAAGACAATTACACAATATGCTGTTATTTTCAGGATCATAATCAGAACCCACTGGGCCTGGCATCCACAATTGCACATGAGATGGGTCATAACATGGGCATGTCCCATGATGAGGATCACTGCACGTGTGGCTCGTCAGTGATCAGTTCCTTCTGTATCATGACAGAGCGTGTGGGGTAAGCAGTATTTGTGTAATATCATACTGTTTTCATTTGTGCTTTGGTTAGAAGTCAGATCTCTCTGTCTAGTAGCTGGCTACCAGAAATTAAGGCAACATAGGCTCATTTTGAAAACGTAGCCCTATATATATTTCTGGAGATTGTGAATTATGTAGCAGAAGGCATGTATGGCTGCATTTCATCTTTGAAACGAATGCTACGAGGGTGATATGACACTGTTCCTTGTTGTGGTTACCAGCCGACCACTTAGCTCCGATTAGACAGCTTTCCCACTGTTACCAGTTAGTCCAGTTAGCTCGTCATGTATGTCAGAGGACTTGAGATGCAGAGAGAAGTTGGGGTTCGAGTCCGGGGAAGAACAGTTCCAGAAAGCGAATAAGATAAAAACAGAAGCCTAAAATAAAACAAACAAGTAAATAACAGGGTGAGAATGTGGTAAAATCTGAAAACATGGTAAAAATCTGGCGGGGGGGTTTCTTTTTCTGGATTGCTTTTTAAAACTGTTGGGTTTAGGGAAGTGGGCGGGCGGGTCAATCAGTGCTTTTGAACACACTATCGGTTGGGTTTAGGGAAGAGAGAGGATTGTTCAGTCGATCAGTCAGTCACTCATTCTTTATGTCAGTCAGTCGACAGCGGTCTCTGGTGGATTTACGCAAGAACAGCAGAGAAATTTGGCACTCGAAAAGCATTCACAGCGGCCTCTGGTGGATTTACGCTAGAACAGCAGGCCAGAATGGCACTCGCAAGAGAAATTTGAGACCTCGAAAAGCATTCACAGCGGCCTCTGGTGGATTCTCGAAAACATAAACTGCAAAAAAACGGGGACGTATTAAAAATTTCCTGGGACGTATTTGGCGCTCTCTAGAAATGTATATAGCGGTACATTTTCAGAATGAGCCTGGGTTGCATCTAGGCGTCCACTAACTCTCTGTGTAATTCACTAGAAATAACAAATTTACACCTTAAATAAAACCACATAGCACACTAGCAACAAACTGCAATCAATAAGCAACCAGAAATATACTTGATATGCTTTTAAAATAAATACTTATAGATATTTTGGGCTTTTAAGTCAAAGTTATTTACAGTAAAATCAAAAATGGCTATAGTTAAAATGTTTAATACAGTTAATACAGATTAAATTCATTTATTTTATCAAAATTCCAGCTTCTCAACAAACTGCTTATGTTACAAGTGCTTAAATAGTCACCAAGCAAAAATGAGTGTACTTCTAAAAAATACAACATGATTAATGAAACATGATTTAAATGCGTTGGAATCAAAATGATTAATCTGACACTACAAAAAGATTTTATTTTAGCTGTACGATAGCGTGTCATGAAAGTAGACTAATTTGAAGTTTACAGGTCAACATTTAATACAATTAATCATACTTTTAACCTTGAAATATCATCATGAAAGCATATCATGATCTGAACAAATGTACACAAAAAAATTGGTGCTTGCTGTTTGTTCAAACTACTTATATAAAATGAGCTGAAACAACACAATTCTTGAGGGTTTTTTGAGACAACTTAATAGATTTATGTTCAGTCCACTTAAATTTGTAAAAACTAATAAGTTAACTTAATTCCTTCATGTTGTCCCAACACAACTCGATTGTGTGGAACCCAGCAGTTTTTACAGTGAAAGTGAACTGCTCTTCCTAGAAGCAGTTTAAAGTGTTTATTTGGCCGAATATTACAAATTGTTATCTTGTCCATTCAAGCACGCTGTTCCCAGAGCAGTTCAGTGACTGCAGTCTAGAGCAGCTGACTGTATTTCTAGACAACGCCAACCCTAGCTGTCTGCTGGACACCCCCAGCTCATACAAACTGTACAGTGGGCCTGTCTGTGGTAATGCTTTCCTGGACCCTGGAGAGGAGTGTGACTGTGGATCAGTGGAGGTATTACACACATCCCGTATGTGTATTTTTAAAAAGTCTATGGTAGTGACTCAGTCTAGGCCAGATTGAACACCATCCTTCTTAAATGACATCATTAATGCATTAATGTATGTTTATCTTTGACTCTGATGTGTCAGTGATGACTGGGTTTACCGTCTTGTGCATTTATGTTGAAGGAATGTAAAAATCCATGCTGTGATCCCATGACCTGCAAGCTCACTGAAGGTTCACGCTGTGCTCAGGGAGACTGCTGTGAGAATTGCCAGGTAATGCTTTTTTTTAATGTGGGTAAAATGACCTGGATGAGTTTAGCTTGTGTGAGCAGTGGAATAGGAAGTGCTTTTACTAAAGTGCTCTACTATGGACGTACACTGTAGAACAGGGGTGCACTGTTTGTAATGCTGAGTTTAAGTCTGGTAATTGTTAATTGATAAACAGTTAATAAAATATTACAGCTCAGAAGCATGTTATGTCTAGATATTACGTTTTGTGGCAGGTAGCCATTTGAAAAGCAGGATAAAGTACATACAGGTCATTATATAACCAATTTACCTGATTACTAGCCCTAAATTGCTCCTGTCCCAACTTTTTTTGTAATGTGTTGCAGGTCTGAATGGCAGGAAAGCACGTATATTTACAAATAAAATGAAGTTGACCAGGCAGTACCACACAACATTGTTCTGAGCTGTGATCGTTTAATCATTTAATTAAGTACCCGGATACGCCTGTTATACTCCATATAACTCCATATAAAATCCAGAAACTAAGCTTTTTTTGCACAGACTATCTAAATGCTTTCCCTGTTGGAAAGACCTCTTTCCAACAGGGAAAGCCACCAACAAACAAGAACGCAATGAGTATATGATTCAATTAGAAAGAAAAATGAAAACATTATGTAGCACAAAAACTAACTATGCATCAAAGCAAATGTTGTTACTAATCTTACACATGTCCAAGACTGTTATAACATATAAAAAACAATCCAGTTCACAATTACTCATTTTGAGTACTCTAAATGAGTTATTTTGTGTGTTTTTGTCACTAAACCAGTGAAACTATTTATGAATTTAACAATTAAGCAGTTAAAATCCTGTAATTGTTTAAAATATTTAGCAGTTTTGATCAGTACTGAGGTTGATTAACAGATTTATGCAAAAAAATAAAAAATAAAAGTATTTATCTGTTGCATATTTACAGCAGTTTAACTTAGTGCATGTTTTTATCCCGAACATATTGTAAGTGGAGTACATTTGAACAGTCCACAAAGATTGAAGAAATTGTTTAAAATAGCTCTGAATAGCTTTTAATACTTCTCTTGACCCTTTTGGCTTTTTAGTACTACTGTGAGTTGGAATGGGACAAGCTCCTCCTGTCCAAGTAATTGATTTGAATACTTTAAGAAATAAGACAGTGTTTTTGTTAAACTCTGAAAAGATGTCAGGTTTTTGGCGGAGCTTTAAAAACTGTTGTTGTTTTCCTGTGTAATATGCAATGATGTGAGTTTTGGATGTGATTGTGCAACCAAACTAAACCCAAGAAATGCTGCAGAACTCTGCAGCCACCCTAGCTAACACACCACATTTTTTTTCTCATGGAAGGAGAAAAATAAATTTATTTTTTATGTCTTTTTTGTCTCTTACTTTTATTAAATATTTGTATTGTTGAGTGATATAATAGCCAAAATGTCTGAGTGTGACATGCTTGAATCCTAAATAGCATTTTTTGCAAAAGTACAGCTGACTGGAAAGACACAGCGCATCAATATCTGAAAATAACTTTAACTTCTCACTTAGCTTTCCTGTGGAAGCAAATATATGCTGAAGCTGAACACAGATTATTAGCAGTTGAGAGTTCTAATGCTTATAATGTTGTGCAGAGAGTTTGTCGAAAAGAGGAAGTATGTTTGGGTGTGGCTGCAGAGAACTGCAGGATGAATGACAAGTGGTGGCTTCCTTCAAAACTCCACCTTTTAATATCAGTTGTGTATAAATCAACCCAGGCTCATTGAGATTATGTACCTCTATATACTTCCCTGGCGAGAGCAAAATAAGTCCCAGGAGCTATGTTACGTTTTTTTGCAGTTTTGTTTCACGAATCTGGCAGAGGCCACTGTGTATGCTTTTTTAGTTTTCAAATTTCTGTTGCGAGTGCCAATCGTGCCTGCTGTTCTCTACGAGAGGCCGATGTCGACTGACTGACTAACTGACCAACCGTCAGATCCCTCCACCTTCCCTAAACCCAACCAGTATTATTTTAAAAAGAACTGATTGACCGATTTTTAAAGAAAAAATGCAGCCATATGTAGGTTTGACTACAATTCGTGATCTCCAGAAACATATATAGGGCTACGTTTTCAGAATGAGCCTATGTTGGTATAAATACAGGAGTCAAAGAAATGCAGAGTGGTTGTGGACCTCCCAAATGTATTTTTTGCATGGTACTGGTGAAACGCAAGGGACAGACGTGACCCAGAGCTCTGAATCAAATGATTCATTTGTATCTAATAAATTACTAATATTTTCGCCATTGAAAGTCCTTTCCTGACTTTTTCATTGAACATGGAATTGTAATATTAAATTCCTACAGTAGACTCGAGCTATGAATTAATAAACAGCCCAGCCCAGGACCGGTTACTCACTAAGGCCCCGTTTACACTAATGCGTTTTAGTTTGAAAACGCATAAGTTTTGCTACAGTTACGGCTTTTCCTGAATATTAAGTAGCCTAACACACACAGTTCAGTCCAGCATTTTCTCCTTGTAAGTTCAGACTTCGCAAGTTTGATCAAGGCTGCAGTCTCTTCTTCTCAGTTTGATATGGAAAACAGACTATACCAAGGAGACGGGTAAATCTTCAAAGGGAACAGTTTACTTTATAACTTCATTCACATCACCCTGGCTACGTTGTTTCACTTTCTCTACAATAAAATGTAAACATGATTTAAGGAACTGCATATTTTCATTTTAATATTAACAACTTAGACAGCAGAAATGTTGAGGCGTCGTGCTGCATGAGCGTCATCTTCACTGTGTAGATATTTATAACAAAACGGAGCCTACAACTGCCTCCTTTCAATTTCAGTGAAAATACGAAACGAACCCTCTCTTTTGCTGAATATCAGTTTTAATAATCGATAACGGCCATTATAAAAGTATAACATACAATAAGTTTAAACATAATAGGAATTAAAGGCAAGCGATCAGTCAATATACAGAATAGGCTACGTGGTTACATTAATCATTAACTTATCTTTGCGCTTAGCCAAAACACGTTACCTGAGAAAAAGTAATAGATTCCAATGACCAAAGTCAGGGAATATGTCGTTAGATAAAGACAACAAGATGAATGAAATATCCCGTTTAATAAATATAGTGAGATTAGATCCAGCGGGAGATGCTTGATGAGAAGTCCGACTGGCACAGCTCTCATCTTGGTAGATGGGCTGCAGCGCTTGCCAAAGAGTGTGTGTTTGGTCAAGTGATGTGCGTTTTCAGCGTTTTGGCGTGGACGGAGAGCAGTTCAGAAACGCTGGGTGAAACGCGAGTGTGGACGCGGATCGTTTCAATTCTAAAACGCCGTTTTAAAACTAAAACGCACTAGTGTAAACGGGGCCTAAAGCTAAGCAGGGCTGAGCCTGTTCAGTACCTGGATGGGAGACCACATGGGAAAACTAGATTTCTGTTGAAAGTGGTGTTAGTGAGGCCAGCAGGGGGCACTCAACCTGCGGTCTGTGTGAGTCCTAATGCCCCAGTAAGGTGAAGGGGACACTATACTGTCAGTGAGCGCCATCTTTCAGATGAGATGGTAAACCAAGGTCCTGTCTCTCTGTGGTCATTAAAAAAATCCCATGGCACTTCTCGTTAAGAGTAAGGAATAACCCGGTGTCCTACGCAAATTCCCTCCATTGGCCCTTAGTCAAACTTCTTTGTCCACCGTATTGGCTTCATTACTGTCTCTCCACTCCCCATATAGCTGGTGTGTGGTGAGCGCACTGGTGCTGTTGTCCTGTGGCTGCAGTCATGTCATCCAAGCAGATGCTGCTCACTGGTGGTGGTATGGTGCGACCTCCCTCATGACTGTGTAGCGCTTTGGGTGTATGGTCATACACAATAAATGCGATATATAAATACACATTATAAAAGAGAGCTTCTTTTCTAGGCAGTTTGGGTATGAGAGAAGGTGCAAAGTGTACCTAAAAGCATTCCAAAGTCATGGCTCTTGTGATACTGTGAACCACCTTATTTTACAGTCTAGTACTCCAATGCAGTATCCATTGTGCTATGGAGGTTATTGGTTTTAAGGGACACTTTGATTTTTCAGAGTTTGTAAGCCCAATTCTGTGTAAAAAAGAGACTTTTCAGTCTCAGCAGAATTGAAGAAGACAGCAGTATTATGATCCTTTTTTCTTGAGTGAGCTACTAGAGCAAATCCACTGCCAGAGTGGCACAGTTGGCGTTTAATTCCAGGATCTGTAAATCAAAGTTCATTGCTGCTTTTGACTTGGGTGGGTGGCGAAAAGTTGTCTAAAAATGTCATGCAAGCTGCTGTTCTTGATTTATTTGTTATTTGGTGGGGGCGAAATGGACTCGCCAAATTGTCAGAAGTCATGACTCAACCCAGAGTCTCTGAATGGCCTCATTTAACTGCACAGAGCCTGCTGAAGTGCTGCTTCATTGAAAGAGACGATCTCAGCTGAATTAATGCTAGATTTAGAATTTTCAAGCACATTTAGGGTCTTCAAACCTAGAGTGAGCAAAGAGAGTAAAGTCACTGGCAGAAAGGCACTGTTAGGATTTGGACCAAAAGTCTTGTTGCTGATCCCAGTTGTAAGAGCGACAAATAATAACTTGACCTCCAGTTGATCATTTCTAAACGTGGCAGAAGGTAGATTTTTCCAGTAAATCATCTGTTTAACAGCATCCCAATCATTACAAATACTGCGGAAGACCTATTGGAACCAGCATGGGCCCAAAATTCTCACAGAAATCAGTCAAGTTTGGCAAAAGAAAATCATGGTTTGGGGTTATATTCAGTATGGGGTGTGTAAGAGATCTGCAGAGTGGATGGCAACATCAACAGTCTGAAATATCAAGACATTTGTGCTGCCCATTACATTACAAACCACAGCAGTGGGCAACAAATTATTCCGCAGGATAGCGCTCCTTCTCATACTTCAGCCTCCACATTAAAATTCCTGAAAGCAAAAAAAATGTAAGGTCAAGGTGCTCTAGGACTGGCTAGCCCAGTCACCAGATATGAACATTATTAAACATGTCTGGGGTAAGATGAAGGAGGAGGCATTGAAATCCAAAGAATCTTGATGAACTCTGGGAGTTTTTTTTGCCATTCCAGATGACTATATCAATAAATTTGAGTTGTCTGAACCAAGTCAGACCTTACTGTCCTTATTAAATAATTAAAAATCAAGATCATATTTTATTTTTGATTAAAAAAAGCGTAATCTAGAGGCCTTTGCCTTTCATATATGCCACTTCTGATACAAAATGATCAACTAGAAGTCAAGTTATAATTTGTTGTTCCTAAAATTTGGATAGGCGACAAGAATTTTGTCAGGTAGGGTAGTGTTGTTGAACTGTGTGGCAAGTGGTCAGTATTTTCACATGGTTGTTTGTTTTTGAAAAACCTTCTCATGAGGTCTGCCTTCTGCCGGCAGACAAATAAATAGAGGTACTACTGGGATTCGAACATTGAATGTCATGTTTACAAGACACACACTCTAAACAACTAAGCCAGGGTGCCAACTGTTGAATGAAAGGGTGACTCGGAAAATAAACAATACAAGAAGCTAGGATCATTAACAGGGTGTCTGCGGGGTCTTAAAACGTACTAAAAGCTGATAAATCAATAATGAGAAAATTAAGGCCCTTATAAGGTATTAAAAAGTCTTAATCATGTTTTTACGAGACCTTTCATTTTGTTCAAGCCTTGTCCAAAGTGTTTCACTCCAAAAAATGCATAAATGTATTTAATATTTATTTAATATGTAATATTAACAATGCCGTGCTCGATCCACGTGATTGGTTCGAGCCGGAGCTTGTCTGGCCAAGCTCGTCCGTCCGGGTGATGTCATGTAAATTGCGACAAACGCAGGAAGGTGATGTGACGCTCTCCACATGTAGCGAAATCATAGAGCAAAGCAGACGGCAATATGGAAAAATGTAAGTTTGCATATTCCTGGTTGGAGAAAGTTGAGTTTAAACAGTGGCTAAAGCCTGTCGCTGTGACGCAGTAGCGCACTAGGTCATGCTGTCACCTCACAGCAAGAAGGTCGCTGGTTCGAGCTTCAGCTGGGTCAGTTGTTGTTTCTGTGTGGAGTTTGCATGTTCTCTCTGCGTTCGCATGGGTTTCCTCCAGGTGCTCCGGTTTCCCAGTCCAAAGACATGCGGTACAGGTGAATTGGGTAGGCTAAATTGTCCATAGTGTATGAGTGTTACGTTGCATGGTTGTGCTCCATTGATTTATTTAACTACAACTGTTTATTAAGTTAAACGTTCGATACTGATTACAACTTGAAGTGGCGATGAGGTCTTAAAATATCCTAAGAAAGGTCTTTAAAAAGTCCTGAAAAGGTATTGAAATTACCTTTAGGATTCCTGCATATACCCTGAATAAGCAATCGCCAGAAAAGCATACAGTGTTTGTAATGGTTCATATTTAAAGGGTTTGTTCCCCCTTAAACATTTAATTCTGTTATTAAATACTCACCCTCGTGTTGTTCCTATCTCCTAAGACCTTCTGAAAACAAATTAAGATATTTTACATGAAATCCGAGAGCTGTTTTTCACTCTACTCGTATACAGCAGGGGTCACCAATCTCAGTCTTGGAGCGCCGGTGTCCCTGCTGGGTTTAGCTCCAACTTGCTTGGACCTGCTTGGATGTTTCAACTATGTTTGGATGTTTCAATTAATTGTTTCTTTGGTGCACCGCGATGCAGACGTGGACAATTCGGTTTGGTTCAGTAATAATCATAACCGGTTATTATGTACTGACGTCATTTATCTCCTATGCGCTCTGTCGCGAGGGAGGTGAGCGCGAGTATTTACAACACTCAGCCAACTTAGGGCCGGTCCGTGGCATAGGCACCATAGGCAAATACTAAGGGCGCTGTATATCCAGGAGTGCGCCAGAAAGGAGCACGGTTCAGTTGGTTTTGTTTTCGATATTCTTGACACACATTCAGTTACAGACGGCAATAACTCAAAAACCTCTTACCCTAAAAAGATCTAAAGTGTGTTTCCTACAAAAAAGACAAAGCTGGTTGTGTTTCACAGCTGTCTTTCTTTCTTTTCGCTCCACACTACGAGCACTGCTCCTTTTTAGCCCTCGCAATATGTGTTTAGCCGGGATAGCTCGCGCTGAGAGGAGCTCTCAGCAAGGGACCGTAGGAAAAGTGCTTATTTTTTCCGTTTTTTTTTTTCGTTTTTCTGCTCCGCTCTTCGCGAGCTCTCCCTGTTGCGAGGGCTTAAGTGTGTGTCTGTGTGTGTGTGTTTGTTTATTTGGTGCTGTCTATGTTTGTGTTTGAATGAGAGACAGTGTGGTGCTGTGTCTCTGTGTGTTTATACAGACAGCTTGTTATAGCCTCTCCTCTAAAATATAACACTGTATATGGAAAGCATCGTCGATGCACCGAAATATCGAATTGAACCGAATCGAAGGCATGATAATCGTAACCGAACCGTGAGACCAGTATAGGTTCACACCTCTAATACCTAGTAAGATCTTGATTACAGGTGTGTTTGATTAGGGTTGGAGCTAAGATCTGCTGGACACCGGCCCTCCAGGAACAAGTTTGGTGAACCCTGATATACAGCAAGGGTGCTATGGATTGTGACTGAGAGCATACCAAACACACAGAGTCTTCCATGGGTCTAAGTAAAAGTCAATTTCAAATTGTATCAAGCAACATTACAGACTTATGTCCTAGAGTGCACCGAAAAACACTGCCAGACACTGTCAGAAAGGGCATTATCGGGATCTGAACCCAAGATCTGTAAATGAGGTTGACTGCAGGCTTTGACGTCTTGTGAAGTCTGTGTCTGGTATAAACGAGTTTGACAATATCATGCAAGCTGAAACTGCTGAAGGGCACAACACTGGTGGGACTTGATCCAGCAACTTTGAGTGGCCTCATTTCACTGTCAATACTGTGTGGTGTTAACAGTAATTATAGATGAAGTGATGGTAGGCTGTGCATGACAGTTACTGTTATTGACAGTTCTCTTTTCTCTCCTGCTGTGCCAGATAAAAGATGCTGAAAGCTTGTGTCGAGCATCTATAAATGAGTGTGATGTTCCGGAGTACTGCACAGGGCTTTCGGAGAAGTGCCCTGAGAATGACTTCAGGATGAATGGCATACCTTGCAGCTCTGGCCAGGGTTACTGCTACAATGGCCAATGCCCCACTCATCTCCAGCACTGCCAAAGGCTTTGGGGAACAGGTAAGCATGAGTTTATTCTGAGCCCTGAAAACCTTCAACAGGAGCAACAATTTATAAGACGGTCTCCCTAAAACAGGGATCTCCAGCCCTGCTTCTGGGCAGCTACCTGCCTATATGGAGATAAGCAAAGTTGAAGACACCTTTCCAAGAATAACCTAGGCCAGGGGTGTCCAATCCTGTTCCAGGTTTAGCTCCTGATTGTAAAATGACCAGCAAATGCCTGAGATCGAAGGCAACCGATGCCTCTAAAATGACTTGTTCTTGCCAGTCATGCAGTATGAATTATTAATTTTTTCATTCATTTTCTTTTTGGCTTAGTCCCTTTATTAATCAGGGGTCGCCACAGAGGAATGAACCACCAACTTATCCAGCATATGTTTACTGCAGCGGGTGCCCTTCCAGCTGCAACCCATCACTGGGAAACACCCTTACACTTCCATTCACACACATACACTAAGGACAGTTTGGCTTATTTAGTTCACCTTTACCACAAGTCTTTGGACTGCGGGGGAAACAGGAGCACCCGGAGGAAACCCACGCAAACACAGGGAGAACATGCAAACTCCACCAGCGACCTTCTTGCTGTGAGGCGAGAATGCTACCCACTGCGCCGCCGTGCTGCCCGCAGTATGAATTTTCAAAGATGCCATCAGAAACAATAGCAGTTATGTCTCCACCCATAAAATAATTTCCATTCTAACAACATTCTGATTGAAAAACACAGCGACCATGACCTACAGCCGATGAGAGAACAAGATACAGGGCAGTGGGGAGTTTTGGTAGGACCACAATGTCAGGAAACATGGCTTTATTTATAAGAATGGCTCATTCTCAATCTTTTAGGACCTAAGAAATGTAGTAAAGTTTGGGAAAACCTTAACAGGAACACCCTTGTCTTTTTGATGTTTTGTCTAAGATGTACCACAAAGGCATACCTTTTGCAGTCTCACGGGAAAACCAGTATTTCCTTATTATTTCTTGTGTGCGTCTAGGGATGCAACACTACAGTTAGCTAACAGTTCAATACATACCTCGGTTTTTTAACACGGTTTTCGGTTTGGTTCTGATGGCTTGACACATAAGTGTTTTTTTTTTGTTTTGTTATTCTATGCTTAGGCAATAGGAACAGTAAGAGGTTAAGTCAGTAACGATTTATTGCAATACTCTTCTTAATATTTTACTTCAACGCTAGGAAAGTACACTAATTTCTAGTCTATGTATAAAAAAAACATTGAACTCTCACAGCTGCTGGTAGCCCATGTACAAACTGGGGAACACATAAAATCCTACATCTTAAAAATAAACATGTGAAGTTTATAAACATAAATTGACCATTTTAAAAAAAACATATTTGTACTTCAGTAAACATAAATAAACCATCTTAATTAAACTTAACCCTGCCTTTGTTATTTTTATGTCTTTCGGAACAAGTTGGTAGGGCATCCGCTTTTAATACATGTACATATGCTGGATAAGTTGGCGGTCAATTTCGGGGTGGCGACCCGTGATAAATAAAGAGACTAAGCCGAAAAGAAAATGAATGAATTAATGAACATAGCTACACAGACCTGTTAAAACCATGTTGAATTTACAAGTTTTTTTTTGTGTTCATATAACAAAAACAGTTCAAGTTAACTTTTTTTTTTTTCAATTCAGCTTTATTTGTATAGCGCTTTTACAATGTAGATTGTGTCAAAGCAGCTTCACATAAATGGTCATAGTAACTGGAACAGTGTGGTTCGGGTTTTAGTGTTTAAGTTCAGTTCAGTTCAGTTTAGCTCAGTTCAGTGTGATTTATCATTACTGAGAGTTCAAACAATGAAGTGCCAATTCATCGATGCGTAGCTCTACCAATCCTGAACCATGCGAGGCAGTGGCGACAGCGGAGAGGGAAAAAAAACTTCACCTGATGGGAGTGAAGAAAAAAAACCTTGAGGGAACCAGACTCAGTTCAGCATGACCATTTTAATTTTTCCGCTGGCCAAAAGTCTTGTGCAGAGCTTCATTCGCCGTACTTGATTTGTTTAGATGCGCAGTGGATACTACGATTAAATCATGTTGATTCAACAAATTATTTTTTTGAGTGTAAAAAAAGGTATGATTAGTTTAAGGTATGAAAATGATCCGACCTCAACATGTTTTGCAGAAAGCTCTGCTCAGTTTGATTTATCAAGATCTTGTGGTTTAAGTTTCCTGTTGGGCGTCTTCTAAGCAACCATAAGCTAAGCAGCCACACTCTCCAATAAACCACTAACTAAGCCTAGTCTATGCCTCAGCTCTAGCTCTCACCAGTGTTATCATTCGTTCATTCATTTTCTTTTCGACTTAGTCCCTTTATTTATCAGGGGTTGCCAGAGGGGAATGAACTGCCCATACAAGTTTTATTTATGAAAAAAAGAAAAAGGCTTTGCGGTGGCTGTTACACTTTGTCCAAGGTGAATAGTTTACTGTTACTAAAATGTATATAGATAGTTGCTTTCTTTTATGCTTATTATTACGCCCTATACTTACATTTAAAAAAAAACGAAGGACTCTTTAGCTGGTGGGCGACGCGGTAGGAAGCAAGAAGGTCGCTGGTTTGAGCCTCGGCTGGGTCAGTTGGCGTTTCTGTGTGGAGTTTGCATGTTCTCCCCGTGCTGGAGTGGGTTTCCTCCGGGTGCTCCAGTTTCCCCCACAGTCCAAAGACATGTGGTACAGGTGAATTGGGTAGGCTAAATTGTCAGTAGTTAAGTGTGTGAATGAGTGTGTGTGTGTGGATATTTCCCAGAGATGGATTGCAGCTGGAAGGGCATCCGCTGCATGAAACATATGCTGGATAAGTTGGCGGTTCATTCTGCTGTGGTGACCCCAGATTAATAAAGGGACTAAGCAGAAAATAAAATGAATGAATGAATGAATGTTTAGCTGGTTTAAAAATAATGACAATATTGTGTGTGTCCTTATGAAATCATGTATGACCTGTGTTAGGACCAGTGTGTGGATTTTTTTAGACAGTTTGTTACCCACTTGTTTCTGTTTTCAGTTAACAAAGTTTACATTTCCACATTTGGCAGAGGCTTTTTAGTTTATTCAAGGTACACACTTTAACTGTGTGTGTTCCCAAATATTGGCTCTGTGATTATGTATATTGTCAAAAATGTAAACAAAATGATTGCACAGCTCTATACTTGCATATATGAGCAACATCACACGAATAGCAGTGCGATATGGCCTAGTGCCCTCCACCAGTGCCGATATACAGCCATATTGCAGTGCTACCGGTGTGATATTGCGTTTATATAACAGTTCAACAGCATAATCGTGTGTATAAAAAAGAAAATCAAACACGGAGAGTCTTAAAAACCCTTTTGTATGAGGAACTACTTTCTTCCGCCATTCATTCTCATCAGCAGCTGATGGCAGAACAGCAGAAACGATTGCTACTTCACAAACGTCACTTTAGAGTTAGTATTTAAATAATTCTCTAGCTTAATATCCAAAGTGATGACAAAATAGGTGGTTTTGCTCACATTTTAAGATTATAACGGCCCATTCACACGGGGCTTCAGCGTCAATGCTTGACTGAAGGTGTGTCTGAAGTTGGGGTTATCGCGATCGTCAGCCAATGAAATTCAATCAGCAATAAGCTACTGTCCAGCTGGTGTATTTGCATACAGCAATCTGATTGGCTGACGCTTCCGTTGGCGGTTGAAAAGTTGAGCTAGTCCCAACTACTGCAGCGATCAACGCCTCTGAAGCGGTGCCGACAGATCCACAATGCAGTTCGGCAACGTCTGACGTCACCCATTCAAAGTGAATGGAAAGCGTTGATGCTGACGCCACGTGTGAATGGGGCGTAAGACTGAACGAGGTGAAATGCCATCAGTCTACAGAGATTTCCCAGTATTTCTCTGTTACAATCAGGATATCACAATAATTAACATCAAAAAAGCCAAAGCAAAGCAAACACTACCAGATCGCTGTGGTATTAATACAGCACTACAAAATACACAAAAGAGAGATCAACTTAGAACGTCACTTAGCTGATTTATAGTGATTTGTTCAGCTGTAGTTTGAAACTTACACTGAGAAAATGCTGTTTTTTCCCTCTAAGGACTTATTATGCGATCTCTGTCGCCATCTTGTCGTGGAACATCAGCCTATTTTAAAATAGGCACTATCTTTATAAATAAACTGCAATCTAAACAATTACATTCTCTAAAGAATGTAAAAAAAAAGTACATTATGTTACCCAACAGAAGCAATATTTGTCAAATTGTAGTGTCCTCTGCTTGTCGCTGTATGTGGGAGGAGTAATACACAAGGGTGAAGGGTGAATATGCTGTATGAGTGCTGTCTTTTGCAGAATATTGGACGGCTATCAGCAAATAGGATTTAAGAACAAGACAGAACTGTTTTATAAATTTACATATCCAATTTTGTCCACATTATGTATACCAACATATGAATCCCTAAGCCTAAATGTTTTCACGAAAATCCCGTGATTCATTATCACAAGCTGGGCAGAATCTGATGTTTTAGTATCCTGATTTGCATAATAGCTCCTATAAACAAAACATTGATATCTGCTTTAATGTTGTGTCTTTTGCTGTTTCATCAGGTGCCAAAGTGGCTCCTGACACATGCTTTTACCAGAACACATTAGGAAAAAATGATTCTCACTGTGGAAAAACCAAAGATGGCATCAGACCCTGTGCAAGAGAGTATGTGATGTTTTATAATTTTCCACTTGAAAATAGCTTATAAAATGGTGTTGTGCAGGGGCAGCTGTATTTTAAAAGTATTTTATGTACAAGCAATGATTATGTTTAATGTTTATAATTATGGTCTGTGAATGAAGGTTGTAAATTTTGAAGTCAGGGATATTTGGGTTGTTAATGTGACATTGTATTTTCACTGTCACACATGACAAAAATGAATGTAATTAGTATTGTCATCATTTAAAGTGCAGTAAATGGTTAAACATAAACAGTTTTCCTGGACCTCTTGTTATAAAATACACATTTTTGAGCCAAATCATAAAAGTGTCCTATGGTGTGACTGTCTCAAGCGTAGTTAAATAAATTACAGCTCTTATGAGCTAAAAAGAACATTGTAAAATCGTTAATGAATATATCAGACCTAGTTTTACAAGTGGCTTCAGTATATTAGTAGATGATAGTGGTGTAACGGATCACAAATCTCACAGTTCAGATCACATTATGTTTTTTAGTCATGGATCATGGACCATTTTTCAGCCAAAAAAGAGACAAATGTCATTTGCTTTCCATTTATTACAAAAACAGTACTGCAAGACACTTTCAGTTTTAACAACCAGAACTTAGAATCTGTAATTTTCTTAAAAATAAAATAAAGAAATAATCAGCTGAATAAAAATTAATAAAAAAAAATTCACTGTTACTACCACTGTTGCTGATAATGCTAAATGGATAAATCTAACATTGTAATTTGTATAACCAAGATTTATTTTTAATCTCATTTTCAATAAATGATTCAGTTATTCACTCATAAATCTTCATGTTTCATTGCTAGATGTGTCATTTTTGAAGAATTATTCAGTGGCATATTTTTGATGACTGGTTGTCGCCACCTACTGGGTACATAAATTAATTGCTGCCTACAACTTTCATTTTTTAACGTCAAGTTAAATGCGCATGACGGTGATTTTAATATTTAGCATAAACATCAGTGGTTTTATCTAAATTAAAAACTGATATCCCAATATTTCTGTTATTCGACTGTTTGTAAACTAAAGACTGAATCTCTTTCTTGATTTTTGCATTTTTCAAACACAGATTTGAATGCAGCAATTCAAAGGGTTAATGAACATATGCAAATCACCATCATTTATAATTTATGTTGCATGGTTGTTGAGATCCCGATTTTTAATGATTAATCATGCAGCTTACACTGAATGCATTAATGCAGGCTAAACAAGTAGTAACAGAAAACACCTTTAATAACCTAAGAAACCCACCACATCCCGAATAACCTTTTACGACTTCTTTCGTCATCATTATATTTTACAGGAAAGCCTAAATGCTTTCAGACATGTGATTTGAATGACACAAGAGGCGATCTCTCTGCGATTGTCATCAAATTTAGTAAAGTAAAAAAAAAATGTACTGATCTATGAGTCAAGTGTGTTCCGAACCATGTGTTTTGATCCATACTATTCACAGATCAACCGTGTTAGTAAATGACAATAATTTTTTATCTATATATCATTTTAAAAACATTGGAATTTGATTAGGTTTTGCTGTCCTGTGAAACCCCTATTTATTGAAAATATCCAACAAATGTGACAAATAATATTCATAAATTAATATAAAATAGATAGCACTAAATGAATTCATGTCATTGTTTACAGTTAAAACCAGAAAAAAAGAACATATCCATTTAAAAAAAAAAATCTGATGGTAAATCATACTAAACGTTTCCTATTTTAGGTCTGTTAGGATTACCTAAATGATTTACATTTGCTAAATGCCAGAATAATGAGAGTTTTCTGAGAATTTTTTATTAATTTCTAGACAGTCAAAAGCTACATACATTTCCTTGGTTTTGTTTTAGCTTTGCTTTTAAACTGTAGAACTTTGGTCAAATGTTTTGGGTATCCTTCAACAAGCTTCTCACAATAGATTGAAGGAATTTTGGCCCATTCCTTCTGACAGAATTGGTGTAACTGAGTCAAATCTTGCTTGCACAAGCTTTTTTAACTCCCACAAATGATCCATAGGATTGAGTTCAGGGCTATATGATGGCCACTCCAAAACATTTACTCTGTTGTCCACATTTTAACTAATTTGGCAGTATGCTTAGGGTCATGGTCTGTTTGGAAGACCCATTTGTGGCCAAGACCCATTTCCACATAATGCTCTTTCTTCTGCTTTTAACTGTATGTATTATTTAGAGTTATTTTGCAATCTCACATCATAGGACATAATCTAGGTATAGAGTTTCATTAAAAAGTGAATGTTATATATATAACATCATTCTTCAAACTACTTTACGTAAATATTACTGTTTATTCTTCAAAAATGGTGTTTTACAAAAACGAAAATACTTTTACTGCCTATTTACAGCACATCCATGTGCTCTTTCTCCATCATGTTGACATAATTATCCTTTCCCCTCATATAGAAACATGTTTTGTGGAAAGATCTTTTGCAATGAAGGAAATGAATTCCCCGTTACTGGTCAGAAAGCGGTCATAGTAACATTAAGAGGACAGTGCAACGTAGCAGGGGACCAAACAGAGGAGGACGCGCTCAGCATGGTTCCAACTGGCACAAAATGTGGGCATAATAAGGTAAGCATGTAGGAATGCTACTTGGACTTGCTGTTGGAATTTATTCTTAGGCACAAAATAAGTAGTCTCGTGCTTGTTTTAACAGGTTTGCTATGATTATAAGTGCCAAGAATTGAACATTTATGGTAGCATTGAAGGCTGTTCACTGCAGTGCAATGGTCGAGGGGTGAGATCAAATCTTCTATTATTATATTTATAATTCATAGCATAAAAATACATAACTAGATTGTTACTGTTTGTTGTTTTTGCAGATTTGTAATCATAAAAAACAATGCCACTGTGATCCAGGCTGGGCACCACCTTACTGTAATGTCAAATATTCTGAATTGTCATCTGGTAAATGTTCTATTTTTCTGAAATGTCTTAAACATGTTTAAATAACCTGTAATGTTTTGACACGTTTTACTCTTCTTTCCAACAAGCAAAGACCATTGGCATCTCAGTAGCTGTTGCAGTCGCTGTGCTTGTGGTAATATGTGGAGCCGTGCTTTATCATAAAAAAAGAAAAGCCATCAGCCGCCACAAGACGTGAGTTATATTATTGACATTTGAGCTGAATACTAGTGTCTTGAAAAATCTCTAGTCAAATATTATGTACTGTCATCATGGCAAAGATAAAAGAAATAAATTAATAGAAATGAGTTAATAAAGCTATTATGTTTATAAATGTGTTGAAAAAATCTTCTATCCGTTAAACAGAAATCAGAAAACAGAAATTGGTTAATCATACCAAATCACCGTATCCTACAGGGGATAGTTCACCCAAATTAAAAATTCTGTCATCAAAATTCTATCATTTATTCACCCTTCACATGTTCAAAACCTATTTGACTTTCTTTCTTATATTGCTGGTCACTGGAACCCACCCAGCTGGCGTGGCCCCTCTGTACTCCAACGTCATGGGACGTTGCATTTTGTTTGATTGAAAAATAATGTTGACGTCAGGCTAGGGTTGGGCCGAAAGACGATGCCATCGTCCATCGCCGATGGCCAATAGACAACACGATGCTGAGCTGGCATCGCCGATCCTCCGCCCAGCCCCCATTGAAAACCCGCTCGCAAAAAATAGACATTTAGGCCCCGTTTACACTAATACGTCTTAGTATTAAAATAGGATTTTTGAACGAAAATGATCCATGTCCACACCGTGTTTTACCTAGCATTTCTGAACAACCCTCTGTCCACTGAAAACGCACATCACGTGACCACACACACACACGCACACACACACATACGCACACACACACACACACTGTCATACGCTTGTCTGAGCTCCAGTGAGCAGTGCACATCAGACAGTTTATCAAGGTTGTACCGCTTGATCGCGTCTCACTATAGTTGTTAAACGTGATATTCAGACATTCCAAGTCTCCCAGGAGTCTCCGGCAAATGCATAGAGACACCCGGATGCCTGCAAACGAGTGATAATCTCCCACACGGTCCTCAAATAAGTCACGCACCCTTCTTACCGCTCGCCACCGGATCCCTCCTTGCTCTTCAGACACGTCGTACGCACTTTGTCAAACCCATCAGGTTTGAATCTATCAGGTAACGTGTCAAAGTATCAGTACACTGCTTCAGTCTTTCACACTTGTACTTAGTAATTTTAGTGAAAACCTCAGGTACTGTTGGTTGTGCACCTTTTTTACCGACCAATCTCCCGCGGAAAAAGTGATTGACAAGTGGTAATTATGAATTTATTAATTATTCAGAAATAATTAATTCATCTCCGCCTATGACGACGATGTCATCGTCCATCGCGATGTTTCACATTAGACATTGTACGATGCCAAATTGGTCGACATTGCCCAACGCTACGTCAGGCCGACACCAGTGTCCAACATCAAACAGATGTTTCAATTTATTTACTTTCCAACGTGACCTAAAAGCCAAATGTCTAATGATGTTACAGCTTGGCATTGTGTGGACGTTACCACTATAACGTCTATCAGACGTTGGATTTTGGTTGCCATACCTGATAAATGAATGTCAGTATTTGACGTCAATATGACGTTTGGTTTAAGATTTTGGCTCTGTTGGATTTTGTCACTTTCCAACACAACCACATGTCTTGGGACGGTGGGGGAAACTGGAGCACCCAGGGGAAACCAACGCAAAAACAGGGAGAATATGCAAACTCCACACAGAAACACCAACTGACCCAGCCGGGGCTCGAACTAGCAACCTTCTTGCTGTGAGGCGATTGTGCTACCCACTGTGCCACCGTGCTGCCCTAGTAAAAAACAAATAATGGAATAAATCAGTTAAAAGGAAGGAGACAACTGATTTACTTTTAATTGAATGGAGATTATTTGAATATGTTTTTCAAGAAAATGCTGTTTCTATTACAACATTTCACATTTAATTGTATTATTTAAAATAGTTTTATTTGTATTTTTTTTGTAAAATAACTAGCAATCTGCATCATTCTGCTCGTGTCTCTCTCTTTGTTTTTAGGCAAACTCCAACTTCAGGGCAAACGAGTCTTCTTTTTGAGAACAACAGTGCCCAGAAGGACCGTCCTGAGATCAGTCAGCCTATATTCATGGGGACCACTGTATCTCAACCCTGCACCCCTCTAACTGCCAGAGTGGGTCCGACCCGTCCTGCTCCACTAGTGAGTGCAAGTTTTATCATTATGCTGCCCTTTTATTACCACCAATCTATGTGAAAAAATTTCTTTCTCAGATTTATTTCCTTATTTGACAGTTATGAATGTGAAATATTTTATGAAAAATGTTAAAGGTCAAAAATCCAGAATAAAAGCCATCTGCAGTTTGATTTACATTGCAGCTTATTCAGTCCAGGAAGATTAGTGTGCACTTGCCGTTTGGGGTGACTCTAAAATGATCTGCATGCTTCTTTGTGATGGTGTGTTGTAAATATGAAATATAAGAGCATAAATATTCAATTCAATTCACCTTTATTTGTACCACGCAAAAGGTGCAAGCAACAATCCCGATTAGAGCGATAATGTGGAGAATATTGATCTTGTGTTGAGCCCAATGAGCCTTTCATCTAAAAATAGAGCAAGGGTGTTCCTTTAGTGATATCGCTTTGACTCACACGCTGAAAATGGCGGATGTGAAACAAGAAACTGAGGATATGATCGTGGCGCGAGGCTTTCAATCAATATTGGTGGGCGGGGGGACCGCTCTTCTACGTAAAGTTGCGGGCGGTCTGAAAACCGATCCAATTAGTCCAACGTTTTTATGTTGTTAAATTGAAAAAAAAGGACTTTGTGTGTGTATATCACCCCAATATGCAGTCTGTACACTATATATATATATATATATATATATATATATATATATATATATATATATATATATATATATATATATATATACACATGTCTGTCTAAACAGCTTGAAACTGATATGACCGTATCAAGCAGTCTTTTCGGAACTATAAAAATACATTTTGTTCTCTTTAACAAATTTGTTTTTATGTTGCAGCCTCCAAAAAAGCCGCCATCACAACCCCAGCAGACCACAGTTACACAGGTAAGAGGAAAAATCTAAAGCAGATAATAGGATTTTTTAAAAATACACAGAATCCACTGTTTACAACATCTTTTGTGCATATAAGTCATTAGTGGCTTCCTGCTGATTAGCATTAAACATTATTTTAACTGATCTTGTAATTTTGCTTTTAAAGTGACATTTAATTGCATGAAACACAAAATACCCACCTAATTATTAGTGGAAAATAAGTTTTGTAACAGACTAGATATCATGTTTAATTAGTACCATTGTGTTTGTGAGGTAATATCACACACATCATTGTGACGTAGACACTATTGTAGTTTTACTTATACTTTGAATTAGTTTATATTAGTATATTTTCCATTTTCGCTTCCGCTGTTTAAAACATATGCTTGATGAGTTGGCGGTTCATTCCGATGTGGCAACTCCAGATTAATAAAGGGACTAAGCTGAAAATGAATGAATGAATTTTCCATTTCCATTTTTTCTCTAGAGTAGTTTTTATTCGTTCTTTATTTTAGTATTGTCTGGTCACACTTTATCGATGGTCCGTTTGTTGAATTTAAGTTACATTGCAACTAATTCTCATTAGATTATAAGTAGACTGTTAGTGTTAGTGTGAGGTGACATGTACTTGCAAAGTTTTTTATTGTCAGTTAAATATCTGTTAGAGGAGCATATATCAACAGATATTAGGTAGATAGTCTACTGAAGTGTTACCAATGATCTTAATACATCAAGCTAAGCTAGACCTAATGAAAATGAAAAATATGGCAACTAGCTAAAATAAAGTTCATGATATTTATAGTTTTTACTAGGGCTACATGATATTGGAAAAGTCTAACATTGCCATATTTAGTTAATCTACGACATACATTTTGCAGATGAAAACAATTTTTACCAGATGACTTGGATATTTCTAATTGGAAAGAATTCTATAGAAAAGTGCATCTGCATTAATCATAATGAACCGTCTACATGCATAGATCAATACAATTTTAAGAGTTCACACTTAGATATTGCTTGTAAATAATAGCAGGTTTGGCATACTGTACCAGGAGAGAACCCTGAGCTCAGAGATAATTGAGCCCAGGGCTCCTGTCTGGTCGATGAGCATGTAAGGAGAGTACGAGATCAGGTAGTTCTCCAGAGCTCCCCCTTTTTCTCCAGAAAACGAAGATAAGGGAGTAGTTTAAAGCTGCGGTCACATTATCGTTTGAGCAACGCTCCGAAAAGGGGCGGGATTAAACAAGCTTATTAGACATTAAAAAAGCGAGCAATTGCTCCATGTCTTAAATTTCTGTCCAGAGATGTCATGTTTAGATCCTCGATTAGTCTCACGCAGTCAAGTGATGCGATTTTGCAGGTCATAGTTCACCAAGCTTGAACTTTGCACCAAAGCAACCTGCAAAACTTGACGCATGACCCTGCGTTTCCCGTCTGACGCATTCACGTGAGTATGAAAGAATCTCTATGGGAGGAAAAGCTCAGTGTGACCGCAGCTTTAGCTGGGCTACTTATAGTGAGTTTGGATTAATTTGATTGGCTAAGTAATGATTGTAGGTGAGAGACCAGCTGCGATCAATTATATTACGTGCTCCTCTCAAATTTAAGCTGCGGCCACACTGGACTTTTCTCCCCATAGACTTCCATTCATACGCATGCTTTTTGACCAGTTGATTTGAGATGCAAACTTTTACAAACTAATTTCAAAGTGCCAGTTTTTGATGTTGGCTTACAAGTATCTTATCATCTCCATGTAAATCAAATGTGACTTTAAGATGTTAAATTGTTCAGTCTATAAGTGTGTAAATACTTGACTACCAAAGACTAGTAAACATGCCTTTTGAGACTTATATTGAGATTTGATTTGGCTACAACTTTCTCTGCCTTTAGTTTCAGCAAATGGAATGATTTTGGTGACAAATCTTATTTTGACACATTTTTTGGGAAAATGCTTTGGAATTTTTCATAAACTCAACAGTACACTCTGGGAACATTAACTATCCTTTCGTTATGTTCATGGCTGTTTTTGCCCCAATGACTTCCCATGTAAAAACATTTTTGGATTGCAAAGCCATCACACCATAATAATAATAATTATATACAAATTCCAAATTGTACCTCGTCCCAACAGGGAAAGCCCTCAACAATCAAGAATGCATGATTATTTGGTGTTATGGCTTTGCAATCAAAAATGTGATTATAATAGAAGTCAATGGGGCAAAAACAGCTACAAGCATAATGAAAGGGTATAAATTTGAACAGTAAACAAGGGTTAAGGTTTAGTTGACTATAATAATCCTGCTCTGTGTAATTGTAGGGAACGAAGTTGCCTGCACCTCCAGTTCCTCCAGTAAAACCATCTTTAGCAACAGGATCCTGGAGGAATGACCATGTAAGCCACTTTTGGTTGGCCTGAAAGTGACATAAACTGTATCTCCTGTCATTTTAATATTACGCTTTTTTCATGAGATACGGTTTGTTGACATGACGTTCCATTTTATATTGTCACACATGACAAAAATAAATATAATTTGTATTGTCATCATTTGAAATGCAGTAAATGGTTAAGCATGACTTTTTACATGAATTTCCTGTTATATAAGATTTTATGTTGTGAAACAATATGCCAATTTTAAGTCTGCAACTTTACGTAGTTGAAAGATTCCATTCCATTGATTCCATTGTTTATATATTTGTACTTTTACTTTTTTTCTTTTATATACAGTATTTAAATTAATTTTTTTTCTTTTGTGGACACACAAAACAAAACTACAAACTAGGTGGGCAAGGATTTTTTTTAAAATCTAGATTAATCTCACTGTAATCTTGGAATTAATCTAGATTAAAATGGCTCATTTAGTTTCTGCGGAAGGCATTTAAAATTTGTGTGCTTCCCCGAATATTGACCAAATATAAGTCTTTGAGAACTGGTTTCTCAAGCCAGGTAGCGCATTAGACCAGGGGTTCATCTCCTGTTTTTAAAATGCATCACAAACTGCTTGAAAAACTGTTCTACTATGATAATTGATGATGAAAATAAATTATGTTCAATAGGATGTACTTGTGTTTACTAACTGTTTATTCAGTTAAACATGAATTTTTAACTGTATTCCAACATAAGCTCGAAACAGCGATTTTTGATCACCTTAATCTGACTAAAGTCATAACTGAACTAAACAGAAATGGAATTAAGATGTGGAGTATGCATATATTAGTGGCATTATTAAAGTAAACACCGCAATCAAACTTTTACCGTCATGTAGGACTTTAAGATCCACCTCATATACCAAAACTGAAACGGTCAACAGATGTTTTGACTTGGCCTTAAAGCTTTTTTCAATGGGTTATTTTTTACAATTTATGATGGTGTAGCAGCCAAATGAGCTCTTATAGGGGTCCAATTTTGGACCTTTGTTATTGAGGGGTGGGTCTTTCAAACCACCTGAACCTCCCCTGGCTATGAGCTTGTAGTGTGTTTACCTATAAGTGAACCGTGGGTTTTTGAATTGCAGGTGACAGAAGACACAGTGAAGGTTGTGTTGAAACCTCCCATCATGCCAAGAAGATGACCAGACCTGAAATCCCCCTGTGAGTCATTTCAGGAAATTAGAACCTTTCTCTGTCACTTTTATAGAGTGGGAGTGTCTGAATCACAAAGTGCTTTTTTTAAACCATGCTTTAAAAAACACACATACACTGCTGTGCTTGGCCTTAGCTGCGTGTTGTCTGTTAGTATATAGTTAAATTAAAATTATTCCCCCTCCTGTGATTTCTTTTTTTCTTTTTTAAATATTTCTCAAAGAATGTTTAACAGAGCAAGGATTTTTTTTTCATAGTATTTCCTAAAATATTTTTTCTTCTGGAGAAAGTCTTAGTTGTTTTATTTCGGCTAGAATAAAAGCAGTTTTTAATTTTCTTTAAAACCATTTTAAGGTCAATATTATTAGCCTCTTTATGCTATATATTTTTCGATTGTCTACAGGGCAAATCACTTTTTTACAATGACTTGCCTATTTGACCTAATCTGCCTAGTAAACCTAAGTAGCCTAGTTAAGAATTTAAATTGCACTTTAAGCTGAATACTAGTATTTAGTAAAATATTATATACTGTCATCATGACAAAGATAAAATAAATCAGTTATTAGAAATGAGTTATTAAAACTATTATGTTAAGAAATGTGTTGAAAAAAAATCTTCTCTCCATTAAACAGAAATTGGGGAAAAAATATACAGGGGGCTAATAATTCAGGATGGCTAATAATTCTGATTTTAACTAAGTCAAAATTATTAGCATTATTAGCTCCCCTTTTGATTTTTTTTCTTTGTTTTTAAATATTTCCTAAATGATGTTTAACAGAGCAAGGAAATGTTCACAGTATGTCTAATAATATTTTTTCTTCTGGAGAAATTCTTATTTGTTTTATTTTGGCTTGAATAAAAGAAGTTTTTAATTTTGTAAAAACTATTTTAAGGTCAAAATTATTAGCCCCTTTAAGCTATATTTTTTCCTCATAGTCTACAGAACAAACCCTTGTTATTCAATAACTTGCCTTATTAACCTTACCTGCCTAGTTACCTTAATTAACCTAGTTAAGCCTTTAATGTCACTTTAAGCTGTATAGAAGTGTCTTGAAAAATATCTAGTTAAATATTATGTACTGTCATCATGGCAAAGATAAAATAAATCAGTTATTAGAAATGAGTTATTAAAAGTATTATGTTTAGAAATGTGTTGAAAAAAATCTTCTCTCCGTTAAACAGAAATTGGGGAAAAAAATAAACTGGGGGGCGAATAATTCTGACTTCAACTGTATATATGATGGTATTTTGCTGTAAAATATCCGAAGGTGTGGTTGGACAAGAAATCAGCTGGCCAAAATGATTTTTTACTGTAAATTTATTTAATTTGCATTCCTATTGTATTGACTTGTATTGTATTTAAGTTTCTGAATAAAAGTTATTTAAAATTTAATGACCTGTCTTTTAAATTGCAAATGTCATTTTGATGACTTTGACTTAGTCTATATGAACACAAGTTTGCATCAGGAATCATTATTTTAAATTAATTATTAATTAGTAAATAGTATTTTTATTTATCGAGTAATGTGTTGCGGCTGGGAAAGCATCCGCTACATAAAAAGGATGCTGAAATAGTTGGCGGTTCATTCTGCTGTGGCGACCCCTGAATTAGGACTAAGCCAAAAGAAAACGGTATATTTGGTACACCATTTAAGCACACAGTTTTACCTCCTTTTGCCTTCAGAACTGCCTTATTCCTTCGAGGCATAGGTTTAACAAAATACAGAAAATATACCTCAGAGATTTTGGACCATATTGACATGATAGCACCACGCAGTTGCTGCAGATTTGTTGGCTGCACATCCATGATGCGCATCTCCCTTTCCACCACATCCCAAAGGTGCTCTGTTGGACTGGGATCTGGTGACTGTGGAGGCCATTTGATTACAGTGAACTCATTGTCATGTTCAAGAAACCAGTCTAAGATGATTCAAGCTTTATGAAGTGGCTCGTTATCCTGCTGGAAGTAACCATCATAAGATGGGTACACTGTGGTCCAAAAGGGATGGTCAGCAATAATAGGTTGGCTGTGGCGTTGACATGATGCTCAATTGGTACTAATGGGCCCAAAGTGTGCCAAAAAAATAGCCCCCACACCATTACACCACCACCACCAGCCTAAACCATTGATACAAGGCAGGATGTATCCATGCTTTCATGTTGTTAATGCCAAATTCTGACCCTACCATCCGAATGTAGCAGCAGAAATCGACTCATTAGACCAGGCAACGTTTTTCCAATATATTATTGTCCAATTTTGATGAACCTGATTAATTATAAATAAAAAAATAATTAAAATAATCTTAATTATTATGACACTCAAGGCTCTATTTTGACGGTTCATCTGCAGAGCGCAAAACGCAGGGCGCAAACACTTTCAGGGCGTGTCAGAATGCATTTTTGCTAATTTAAGGACGGGAAAATCTGCTTTGCGCCATGGCGCATGGTCTAAAAGGGTTGAGTTTATTTTCTTAATGAGTTATAGGTGTATTTTAAGAAAAAAACAATTAGAGTCTCATCTCCCATTCCCTTTAAGAGCCAGCTGCGTCCCGCCATAAACGCATTCGCTATTTACAGGACGTAAAGTAAGTCTAAGTGGAAAAACTGAGCATTTCACTAGCGAAAAGTTAGCAGTTAACAGTTTTTTAACAGAAAACTGTTAAACAGAGCATCTACTGCGTGAGAATGAGAGATAATGGATCTACTTTCACTTTCGCTCTTGGATAGGGAAACCTTTACACACAGACATCAATTAGCCTATAAATAATTAATTGCGTTTGTTTAGCACAAATATTCATTTCAAAACTATTTCTAAATTCAGCTCTAATTTCCAGCAAACGAATAAATGAACAATAATAACGAAGTGTGTTCAAAAACCTGAGTTATATCCTAAAACACATGCTGTGCCCCATATGGTCTAAAACCTGACAGGTGGGCAAATCTAAGCTTGTTTTTAATAAAACAAATATAAATATGGATATGATAAATAATACTGCTAATAATAATAACAATATACAAAAGCAAATTGTTATGAATGAAATGAAAAAGCCTCCAGAGATGAAGAAGACATAAAAGCAGTGATTTTTCATATTTATGTAAGCTAGAAAATAATATGTTTTGTAATATTTTAATCCTTTATATTTATATCCTATATCTATTCTTATTATATCCTATATATATCCTTAATATTTACATTTTTTCATATTTAAAGATATTTGCCTATTGCTCTCTTGTGCGTATTAAGCAGTGCGTAAGCGAGGCACAACTCTGCGCCGGAGTTTAGACAGGGTTTGTTTTCGTCTAATGAAAAATCTATTTTAGTTTATCAAATTAGCGACGCGCCAGCAATGCGCCTCAGAACGCCTTCCTTTTTAGACCAGAACGCCTATGGACACACATATGAGCGATAATGCATTTGCTATTTAAACAGCATAGCGCAACGCCTCAAAACGACTCTTGCGCCAAGCTGAAACTAGCAAACAAGTATTGCGCCGCGCCTTGCGCCACACTGCGCCGGGTGTATGATATGGCCCTCAGTTTCAGGTGTTGCACATTTTTCACATTCCTCCAGCTGAAGTTGAGTTTGTTCATATTAGCTCTCTAAGATCTAAAATATATTAATTTGTGTTCTGAATATAAACTAAGGTCTCGTGAGATTGGAAAGACATGAGAATGATTAATGACAGAATTTAAATTTTTAGGTGAACTAATCTTTTCACTTGAAAACATCTAACTTTTATATTTCAATTTGTTGTAAAACTGTGAATAAAAGTGACTCAGAATAAGTGTTGAAAAGCACACAATGTGCCCCCATAATACCTGCACACCCTGTTCCTTGACTCCTGATAGCAGCTCAGATAATACATGACTGATCATGTATTTAGAGCAGGAAGGTTTCCCAAAGCTCTGAGATATGACCTACACGCTGAATCACATGTGCCTTTTGATTGTTTCTAACATGCGCCACAGTGATTCATTGTGATTCACGTGTGCGGCTGTGTAATTATCCTGTTGGGTGAAGATGGAAATACATCCACTCACCTACAGGATATGCTGGTCTATTCTTGTTTTAATGCTGCTGTTCATTTCCTGTTAGTTGAGTAAAAGCAAACATATTTGAAGTTCATAAAACAGATGCTCATGAAACCGTATTCCAAGACAAACAAAACAGAACAGCAATGATTTAATTGCTTCGTTCATATGAAGTAACCTGTCATGTGATCTGACTGTAACAGTCACTTATGAGGATTAAATGATCAATCAATACAGAAGTCTTTATTATGACTCAGACATGCAGATATGCCAAAGACAATCTACTGGGAAAAGGAAAAAAGTCATTTTATAGTGACTGAGTTAGAGCTTCGTGATATTGGAATAATCTGACATTGCAATATTTAGTTTTTCTGATCTCACAAGGAAACAAACTATTGCACATTTTGTCAGTTTTGTAGCTACTTTGTACACACTCATATGAGTTCAGTCATACAAAAATGTAAGATTTTTAAATAGGATGCTGGCACCAAAGCACACCCCTAAACGCAACCATCATTGAAGGATGAGGAAATTGTAATGAATTGTTCAAATGAGATACAAATTAGCAACTAAATTAACAATTAATTGCATCCAAAATTTTAAAAAATTAATTAATTCATTTTCTTTTTGGCTTAGTCCCTTTATTAATCCGGGGTTGCCACAGCGGAATGAACTGCCAACTTATCCAGCACATGTTTTACGCAGCGGATGCCCTTCAAGCTGCAAATCATCTCTGGGAAACATCCATTCACACTCATACACTATGGACAATTTAGCCTACCCAATTCACCTGTACCACATCTCTTTGGACTGTGGGGGAAACCGGAGCACCCAAAGGAAATCCACGCAAACGCAGGGAAAACATGCAAACTCCACACAGAAACGCCAAATGACCCAGCCGAAGCTCGAACCAGCGACCTTCTTGCTGTGAGGTGACAGCACTACCTACTGCACCACTAATTGTGCCGTTTTGGAGACTGTGCTCCCAGCCTACTTTTTAAAAAAGGGTGGGGATACAAACGCCTATGTGTCAGCAGTTGCAGATTAAAAATCAAGACTAACGTTTTATGCTAATGAGGAAGTGATCATCACCAATGGGTGGGGTTTTACCCTTTTGATGACGTATGTACGAAAGGAGAATATTATTCAAAGCGT